TATATCCGAGTTATACTAATACTTATTTACCTATCTAGTTATGTTTGCCATTTTGGGGGTCCATCTCATCGGGCATCGAGCTAATTGCATAATTAAACACTTGCCTGTTAAGAATGTTACACTAACAAGACATATATGGATGCTCTCACAACTAGGTTTTGTATTGTTTGATAAGTTTATGGCAATGCAAAAACGATACAGATTAGATTCGCTAAAAGAAAACGGCAAACTATTGATGAAAGATGCGATCGAATTAGAATGTAATAATGATTAAAAATTATATATTATTATATCCGCCTGAGTAGCCGAAGGCGAGGAATCTCGACTAGCAAGTCAATGCTTGTGGGTTCGAATCTCAAGTGCGGTAGAGTTTTTAATAACAAAAGCTGATAGCCTTAGATGCTAGTGCTTTTAAGAGTTTAGTCTTAGAATTTACTTCTCTGGCGAAATTATTAATAATAATAATAATAATAATATATATTATTATATCTTATTCCGTTAACTCTGATACTTATTTCTCGATTTAATAAACGATATATGAATCTTGTTAATAATAACGAAAAGTGAATAATTAATTATAGAAATTTTTTCAAGGAGAGTTGAGTGTAGACAACAATTGTAACAAAAATGAGATAACTCATACAGTTAAGAATTTACAAATAAGTCGAACGGGCTAATTGCCTGCAATACAATGGTGATTTTTGCAAATTCATTGCTTAATATTACATTTGATTAATATTAGATTATGAGGATTTTTTTCATATCATTTATTTTCATCAAAAATCGGCGAAGTACATACTTATAAGTAAAATTGTTAAGATTTAAAGATTTGGCAATCATAGGCGAATTGCCGCAACAAGCTGTAAGCTGATGTAAATGAGAGTAAGTTTAGATACTACTGAGAATTGAAATTAATTCATATAACATTTCATATAACATGCTTTAAAATAAAATTTTATGCAATTTGTTACCACATTCGTAGATTTTTCCAGCCTTAAACTTTTCTTTTTAGTTTTTTTCTTTTTTTTTTTTTGTTTTTTTTCTTGATAATCTCCCGCCAGTATAACTATAGATATTATCATTATCAATTGAGATGAGATGAACGGTTTTCTGAATGCTGCGAATGATACGAGATACAACTCTCTTTGGCATTTTTCTTAATTGCAAACATTATACTCATATCAAGCTATAAGGGATGAACATGCAAAAAAGCGGTCTCTCTTATTTTGCTTTCGATAGCTTAAAACATCCCCATAATTTTAATATATTCTATTAACCGTAAGATAGTGCAGCGGCAGAGTATTATTATATAACCAAAATATCAGATTTGGCAATGTCAAAAATTTAAAGGAAAATCACAATGTATACATGGAAAATAGTACGGAGCCATGTATTTTCAATATCGCATATAAATTTTGCACATTCCATCGAGATGAAGACAATTACTGCTTACCTTATTTATTTCAAAAGCACTTTTAATATTTTTAGTTTTTGTTGTTGTTCCAAATTCCAATCAGACGTTTACCAACACTATTGCGGCCAAATGTCAAACTATCAACACAAAGCAGAGATAAGAAGTAACGGCGAATAGGCTTTGTTTACTTTTTTCAGTTTCCTTTTTTTTTGTGCCTCTTCTTGTTTTTATTATGCGAGCAGGAAAGTCTTGCGAAAAAAAAAAAGAAATGCACTTTACAATCGAAAAAAGACAAAAAAGAACCTTTTACACATTATGAATCATGCAACGCTAAGCACTTTCCGAGGTTGAAACTCACACAGAGACCAATTATATATATATATATATATATATAAATATATATAAATATATATATATATATATATGTACATATGTATGTATATATATGTATATGTATACGTATATATTATATATATACATATATTAGTATATATTTATGTATTTATATATATATACCGGACAAAACCAAACGACGACCAACGTATATGGCGTTAAATGTCACGAGATTTTTTTTGATGGTTGATTGCCACCAAAAAAAAAAAAAAAGGCGACCTAAGAGCTTCCTGGACAATCAAGGCAACAAATACAATTTCCGCAATTGCTTAACACACTTATTAATATGACAACAGAACGGGAATAAATCTTTCGAACACTTTGTTTTGTAAAAAAAATAAACCAAAAATATATGCACATATATGTATTAAAGTATTAATAAAATATAAAAAACCGCAAGAGAATGACAAAAACCCGGAATGACTGTCTGGTTAAAATGCAATTAGAATCGCAGCGAATTGATATAAAGGCGAAATGCATATGGTGGTTCTAATCGTAGAGTTGCCAAGATTCGAAACATGAAATGGTGACTATTGTAGAACAAAAGGAATTCAAAATATATTTTTACTTGTTTTAACATGACATAAAACAGTAAAGAATAGTTTTGAAATAATACATTTGACAAGATTGCAAGAAAATTCTCGATTGTGATTAACTAAATTGAAAGATAGATTAAACATTATATTTAGTTGTTGGCAATAGTCAGGTTCAGCAAGCAAAGCTTTCAACCATGGTTTCATGTTTCGTAAGTGATGCTGCCAATTTAAAAAAATGATAATAAGCAATTTATATATGCACTTCTAAGAAAATAGAATTTCAGTTCGAGATAATTGGACCTCGGTTTCGGATTCAGTTTGCGGCCAAAATCCTCTTCCAAATAATTAGATTATGTCCCATATACTTCACTAGCACATTAAAAAAGAATATACAAACCGTGTGAATAGCGTATACAGAGAAAAAAGCTTATGTTAATGATATAAAGTATAATCTATCTAAGACACAACTGCAAAAGCAGCTTGTGGCGAATTTTATAAATAGTCTTCAAATTTTTTGGGCACCTATGAGATTCAGCGTTTATAGTATCTGGCTGTGAAAGATCGAAAGTCCAAGGCGACAAAAGTTGATAACACAAACTCTACATGTAAATTAGCCTCGGAGGCACTTAGTCGACGACGAGGAATCGTGACTAAATTTTGAAAATGATCGTGAAAGGTTGATGCGACTCACATTTCCATCAGATAAAGATCATTTACATGGGCTAATAAGCCAATGGACAAATAATTGCTGTTTATCAACTTACACTGAGTTCTTTCTTAAGGTCGCAACTATTACGAATTCAACGCAAAGTAAATGTAACTTTGTTCGCTGCTTGACATTACAATTATTATTCTCTATATTCTAATGATTCTGCTTATCTTTTAGATATACTGCGTTCTCTTTATTGCCATCGACGCCGAATGCGCAATCCATTAGACCGTCCTTTTCGGCGATGGTATTGATTCCGGATATCCTTTGACCTGAGGATATCCCTTGACCTGCGGCGCCTTACAAATTATAGGAAATCTCTTAACGGATTCGATGAACGGACATGTAATGACGTACACTTCATATCTACCTGACGTACAATATGTTGCTTTGCACAATATTTGTGTGAAATTTAAAGTTCTCCATAAAATATTGGTCGACATGGCAAAAAAAAAAAAAAAAAATAAAGAAACAATCAAGAGAAAATTTATGTAAAAAACCGAATAAAAGAATCGTTTCTTATTAGAAATCTCTCTATCTCTCTCTCTCTCTCTCTCTCTCTCTCTTTCTCGGCCATCTACCAATTAAAAACTTGTTGATCAATTTTTGCCACCTATTTATGTAAATGTGGAAGTTCCCAAGTGCATTAAATCTCAATTTTTGAGTTTGCGGCTGTGTAGGGATCTCGGCGTCGTGTCAACTATTGCCTCGCAAATTTCTAACTGTCGATAATGTGTACCATCCACTTTTATTCATGATCGAATGAAAATTCAATCGTTTACAAAATTGCTAAGTAAGAGGTGCGATGATAAGAGTCCATCGTTCTTCTGTAAATGAAACTCAGTGATTTATTCGCACATTTTGCATAGTTCAGTTACTCCAGACATTCCTCTTCATTGCTTACTTGACTTACCTTGTGTTGTTTATTTTTTTTCTTCTTTGCATTGATTTGCATCCTTTTTCGTACACTAATGGTATCACAAATGTTACGATGTTTATGTTGCGAATGAAATGATTATCTCGATGCGACACCTATATCGTTACTATCGAATCGAGCGCTTGCTCAATATTGAATCCATTTACGGGTGGCTACAGTTTGCTCCCTTTTTTCTTAAAACCGAACTCGCTTTCACTTTCCGAGATGCAATCACGTTAATCGTGTGGGAAAAAATGGTAAAGAAAATCTAATCGAAGGTGTCAGGTCCTATGATCCAAACGATATCGAGAGAAAGTGAGGTAAGATATTTCATATGTAAAACATGTTCAATGCTATGGGCCTAATTATCTGCACTGTTGGGTTGTATACCTACCGAAGTCATTTTCATTCGCTAAGCTCACATGCCGAGGCTTATCTTTTTACTGCGTTACTCACTTATAGGAAAAACAGCTGACAACGGAGATCAGCAATGTGTGTTTTATAGCATCATTATAATGAGGCCGATAAAGCCTTTTGAAGTTATGTTAAAGTTTGGCATTTCGTTTAAAGCAGTTTTTAGCCGAATTCTTTCTCAGATTAATCCTACGGTGCTCTTCACTTTTCTGTGTTAATCGTTTCCTAAAGATCCTCTACCACAAATTGGCACAAATTGCTGGAAAAATGTTGGAAAATTTCACTTAAGTTGTCGTTCTTTTTATTTTATTTTTTATTTGCGTTTTTGTGTTTATTTTTGTGTTTTTTTTTTTTTTTTTGGTTTTCGTATATAAAATTTCAAATAATTCTCGTTTATCACAAATGTTTCAAAATTGCTATAAAAAAATAATATTTTAAATTATACTTTTTCGTTTGGCCTTCTTTTCTCCCCCTTTTTTTTGTTTTTTTTCTTTTTGTATTTAGTTTAATTTAAAAATATTTCGTCGACTTGTTTTTGTGATGTTTTTTTTGTTGTATAAAAATTATGCTATAAATTTTCTGGAAAAATATTTCAATTTTGATTATTTTGTAATATAATTTTTTTTTTTTTTTTTTTATCGATTTTGTTGTTACTGTAAAGGTTTATCAAAATTTGCTACATAATATTGCTTTGTTCGTATCGAACTGATTCCTTTTTTGGTATTTAGTTTCATTTGAATGACTGATGCCATTTGAAATTTATTAGTGAAATGTTTTCAGTAAGCTGTAGCTTTCTTCTGCATTTGACGATGATGTAAACAAAAAAAAAAAAAAAAAAACAAATACAAAAAACAAATAAAAATAAATGAAAAAAAATGCTTGAAAGCTCGTTAAAAACTCAAGCGAAAAAGCTTCAGTTCATCCTAAATCTATTTAAGTTTGACCGCACAGCCTTTTTTTTTTTCATATTCCACCCTTGCGTTCACTAAATTACCACGCCCACTTTGGTGAAACTTTGCCAAAATTCCATTCGTCTGGGTGCCCGGCATGTTGTAAGGTCGCCATTTTCTCCGCCACTGAAGACCACTTAAAGGGACTAGAACTTATTTGACTCATTGCTATGGCGCGCATATCGTCGCGTACGGTACGTCGTTCTGTAATTACTTGCAATTCAGCCAATTCGGCAGCGTCATCAACGACTACGCTAAGACGATCGTCACGTATTAAAGACGCCGGAGCCAAGTCACCGCGATAGCCCATCGCCGCCGGTAATGATCTTGTCTGTACATGCTGAAGGCGTATAAACACTGGCCCAGCGAATGCGTGATAATCACTCATACCTAAGCGGGCATTATAAGCAAACAGTTTAATGTCTATATTTCCGTAGGCAACAGACTGCTCATCGTCCAACAAATCTCCGCGAAAGCCACGAGTTCTTAAGAATTTATCAATGGCTTCCAAGTTGTTAAGTTCCCTGCTTTCTGCTGCTGTCAGATTGGTGATGTAAGCCTCATTATTTACACTGCTGGCCTCCAAGATTTCCTTATAGTAGGGTATGCCAGATGCCAACCAAGTTGTTGTATTATCGACAGCCTCTAAAAATGATGCAGTAACATCCTTCATATGCATACGACCTGGTAATTGTTCAGCTATCCAGACAAGACCTTTCAAATGATTTTGGCGCTCTATACTGGCGGCTTCTTCGTCCACCTCCAAATTGTTTTCATCTAATTCGTATAAACTTTCCAAAGGGCTTAGCTTATTGAGATCAATAGTTATCCATTGCTTGGAACCAGTAAAGGGATGTCTAGATAGAGCCTTAGTCCATGAACGGCGACTTTGAGCTAAACGATTAGCTGCCATAACGCGTGCTGCTAAAGGCATTGCCTCCTGCACATTTACTGTTTGCCATAAATCTAAGTTTTCATTCTTAATACCTACACCGGCTACAATGGCGTGGACTTGTCTACCTTTAATTATATAGAAATCGTCTGTTGAAGCCAATATACCTGGATAACCAGTAAATGCTATATCCATACCGGGAACCGTGTTGGAATTTTGATTGGACGCAATATGATAATGAAATTTATACCGTTTCTGGATGCGTAGCATTGATGTATAACTACCAGCCGAACTATGACCGAATAGCAGCTGCCAAGTCGATGCGTTACCTGTTGGATATATTTTTGTAATCATTGTCGCGCTAGGTAAAAAAAAATTCTTTGGCTCAGTTTCGTTTGCGGTGCGATTAATGCCATTTAGTATATAATTTTCGTAATATATTTTGAGATCGTGTATATCAGCAGCGGAATTCATAAGAAGAAAATCGGACCACGGTATAGCCGCCTCCAGGTCAGAACGCGCTCTCTTAGCCCCTTGACGGTAGCCGGTCTCTAAGCCTTTCAACTGAATGAAATACAAATTGATTTGATGCCAATAATGATCATGTTCCGATTTCGAAGCAGCCGTCTCTTTAATTTCATTAAAGTTATTCTCTAAAAGTTCACGTAACCAAGTACAAAAACGTTGAGCATTTTCATCCCTGTCACAAGAGGACATAATGGTACTAAATGTTTGAAAAGGAGAAAACTCGGTAAGATAATCACAAATTCATTTGTTTTTTTTTTAAATTGCTTTGCTTACTTTAACCACTGATTGTAGATTTGATTCCAGGTAAGTGAACCTTCTATAACTCCAGCACCATACGCTTGCACCCAATCAGGGGAAGTACGTTGCGTTTCAATTTCAATTTGGGCCCAACTAGGAATTATATGCAGAATTGATTTTTTAATCGTTCAATATTTAGATTTTTTAATAACTAACCCGTTTTCATAGATGGAATCCTTATAGCATATCCTAGCAGCGCCCTTTGGAATGTTTAAAAGATCATTTTGTTGTTTCCAGTACTCAATTTGAAAGCCAAACTGCTTAGTCCAAAATGCTGTAGCACAATAGGTGCCATCATATTCGGGACGCTCCAAATAGCTTATAAAGAAAGCACCAATTACCAGCAAACCAGCGCCAATTAATATATACGTTCCAATCCGTGTCTTCTGCCATGATGCACCAACAACTTTTAAAACTGTGCCCGCCGTTTTGATGCCTTTTTCTAATGCGTAAAATTCGAAATAAAACACGCGCAACTAATCGCTTCACCTCTTCGCTCTTTGCCTCTCAGTTCTCGTTCTCTTTCAAAAATTTATTCTATAGAAGACAATAATTTAAGTCGGCTCGTTGAGCGTACGAATGATCACAGGTTGTTCTCAAATGATGACGGCGCGGGAAGATGGGTTTCTTGCAATAGCAATGGGTGGCGAGAACGGCCTGTTTGGTCATTGGTGAGTCTATGTATCGGTTACTTAGTTTCTCTCCAAGTGACTTTAAGTACTTAGCTGAGTATGGCTGGAGGGATGCAGTAGCAGTAGTAGATGATGAAAGATAGTTAAGTTAAGCCAACGATATATGTTTTTTGCCAAAATTTATTCCAATTTTCTTTGGATTAGATTTCTATTTGTCTTTTTGTTTTACGAATTATTATTATTTTTATTATTTTTTTTTTTTGACGGAAAAAATTAATTGTAAAGAAAATTCCCTGCAAAATTAAGAAAACAAAAAAAAAAAAATTTATTCAATTTATATAAACATTATAAAATAACGGAAGAGAAGAAGAGGCTTTCTGATCGTCAGACCCCTTGTCCACCCGACAAGACCTTATTTATCTCAAATATAGCAAAGATTAAAGATTCAAGTAAAATTCCCAATATAGCTCTGTCTGTCTATCTGTCTTAAAGCACCAGCATCTAAGGCTATCGACTTTATTGAAAACTCTACCGCACTTGGGTTTTGGACCCACGACTAAGAAGTGGAAAGTAAAATTTAAAGAAAATAAGACGAATTTAATTTTACTGCCTTCTCTGACTAGATCTTCCTATATCGGTTATAAGTAATGAGTTCGTTGTTTTTTAAATGAAATGAAACTGCATCGGTTGGAGGATAAAGGGAACTTCTAAGTGGCTTTTGCGGGATCGTATTTTATATTTGCTTGCAAGGTAAAGCGAAAATTTATTCAAATTTTTTAAAACCAATCGATGCATTCGTATTTAGCTTTCATGTGATTCGACGGGAGCTTGCTCTTAAAATACTTTTTTGCTTAATTATGTGTGCGGCAAACTCTTCGCCCGATTATGGTAACTTTTGCTTTTACTCAAAGATTTCATTAATAATAGTTGGAATACTTAGTACCCGATATTAAGGACTCTTCAGTTAAAACGTCGTAGTTCAGGAAAAAGGCAAAGGACCTATTAATTTTTTTGAACAATTGTGGAGCAATTTTAAATTTTATCTACTGTGACTGCTAAATAGAGACCTGGGACTATACTTGTTTGTTGTGCGGGCGAAAGAGCCGACCAATTCTAAACCATATTTATCTGAATAGTAAAGGCTTCCAAGTTGCAATCGTGAATTCAAATTAACGAGCACAGGAACCGTCGGACCGACAGATATGGCTCACTCAAGTCCACCGTTCACGCTAATAAAAAATATATAATTTTAGAAAGTTTTCGATCTAAATTTCAAGAATTTATAGAAAATTGCGTACATAACTCCTATATGATACATAATGAAGTGAGGGAAGAGAGCAAGTGCAACGTGTTTCAGTTGCTCGGTTAAAACTACTTTTTTGTTCGTCTTTACCGTGACGCTTGGCCGCAAAGTCTTTTAATCTTTGTCGATTCACTTTCAAAAATGATCTGTGGCCATAATCTATGAGACGCGTGGCTATCGTACGATACGAAAGACAAAATCGATGCGATCGCTCTTTGGATTAATGGAACGCGATTGCTTTTGTATCGAGCTGAGCTTTTCCTTAGTTGCAATTACAACGGAATATTTGTGTTATCATCGGCGCATCTATAATAAGATAATGCAACGGCCGAGTAGACAAATGCTCTAGGCTAACAACTCAAAGAGCGTGGATTCAAATCTCAAGTGTGTAAAGTGGAGTAGATAGAGTTTTCCAATAGCATTAGATGTTAATGCTTTAGGTCTTTAGTCTTGTAGAACGTCAATGAAACGAAAATATCAAGATGGAAAAGCATCGAAAATAATTATTTGATTTCGGAAATTAATTAAGAAACCTCTTTATGTCCATTGATTTTATTAAATATGTGTCTTTCTAACGGTATTTTACTTTACTTTCCCTTTAAAAATGAAGGTCGATAACTATTTTATTTTCGAGCCATTATATTAGTTTGGGGAAAAAGAAATCCATTATTTTTTCGGTAGATGGCTGCACTGATAGATTTCTCGTAAAATATCGATCAAACAATTTCAGATTTATGCTCGTTGGAAAGGTGACATTTCGCAGTAAAAAAAATTCTTTTGCTGTTTTTTGTTTGGTGCATTCAGTTGTGAGCTACAGCGTGTTAAAAATGGAAGTGAACAAAGAGAAAATTCGGTACATTTTACAGTTTTTCTTTGACAAAGGCGAAAATGCAAGCCAGGCGGCTAAAATTGTGAATGGTGTGTATGGTTCCGATACTGCAACAGCCAATTATGTGCAATTTTGGTTTCGTAGATTCCGTTCAGGAATTTTTGATGTTAAAGA